TTTTTTTTAAAGTCTATATTTTGCTTTACAAAAACGTGAAAAAGCAGCTGTGACCAAGCTATCACGAGGTGAGTAGCATTGTAAGCATAATTAATAGCGATATACTTCAGTTCGTCTGTGTGTTTTTGTATGCAAGCGGGTCTGCTGCGGTCTGCTGACAGTCCAAAATGGCGGCGGTAGGACGAAACCATGGGCGAGTCTGTTGTTACGGGGCGTTCTATTGCGCTTCGCCGCTTGGTATCCATGCTCTTTGGCTGAACATAAGGGCGTTCATCCGTCTTGCTTCGTTTCACACGGGAATTATTAAACACACGGGCCATGAATGTTGTATGCTTCTATCCAGTGTTGGAAAATTATATTTACTGAAGTACTTTAGTACAAATCTGAGGTATTTTTACTTCACTTGAGTATTTTTTATGACGGCGGTGCAGTTACACGGGGGGGCCACGGGGTGGCACTACATCAGCGTGTTGGCAAAGAAATAAACCTGTGTTCAAAGATCTCACATTAAATTAGAAATGGTGCCATCTGCAACATCTTCCCGTTGGAAAGGCAAAACCATCTCCATCATTTTTTTTTTTTTTTTTTGTGAAATAGTGGCAATCCATAACAAAATGTCTATTCTACATAAATTCTAAAAAACAGTTAAAAATAAATAAATTTAAGTTATGTTCTAAAAACCATCGAAAAATGACAAGTAACTATTTTCTTGTTTATTTACTTATTTACTTATTATTTTGTCATTGCATGCATTGATGATTGCTGGGTATTTACGTTGATGTTGTCCAATGTAAAGTCTCATGTCTTGTGACAAGACCATCCAAAATATGGTAATTAAGACACAAAATCCTGCACTGTGTCCCATCCCAAGGGACTGTTCTTTACTTATCAGAGGAGGGCTGACTTTTTCTTTTTTACTTATTTATTTTTATTTTGACCCTCTCCGAAGCTACATATATTAAAATGCATGACCCTCACTCCACCACACATTAGTTATTAGATTCTTAAAACTTCTCCTTGGATGTTTGAAAATTTAAAGTTGAAGACTAAATCCTGGAGTTGAAAAATGCATTTTGGTCAGTTTGTGCAAATGGTTTATTTTTGGCCAAATATTAAATGAGACGTAGAATAAGGCAATTTTGATGAAATATTACTATTTTAAACTCAGGTTTGATTGTTTTATTTTTTTTCTGACCGAAGCGTTTGCTGCACATGATGTGACCAAGGACCACTGGAAATTTGAAAATCCAACAATAATTTCTATTTTTACGGTTTCTGGCTGTGATACATGGTGTAATTTTGGCAATTTTGTTAAAAATCTGTGGTAAAATAAATAAAAAAATACAACCATTTAAATGCATATGCTCATTAACTATGCCAAAATAAAAAAAACCTAGTCCCTCCCCATTGCTTAAAAAATTATTTGACATGCCTCCCCCTTTTCGCACCCCCAATTACCACCCTCCATAAGTAGCCTAACAAACAGTGCCTAACTACCATATGCCACTACACACAGGGGTGGAAGTAACAAATTTCATTTAGTATTTCAAAAAAACGGTAATTTCACTTTTACTTGAGGAACCCTTAATATTTAATTCACACAAAAATCACAGGATCAAGTTCTTTATAAATGAAATGTTTATTGAACTACAAACTACATTACTTACCAGACAAATACATGAATAAATGACAAATAAATGAGGAATAAGTCAGTGCCACGGACACAAGAATGAAGGATTTATGAATGAAAGAGGACCGCTGTGTAGACTTGGTAACATCTGTAAACGATATCCTTGATGTTTACCAATAAAACTGATTTGATGGATTAATGCACCGTTCAGCAGTTGAAAGTTAAAGACGCACCTGGGAAGAGTGTGAAGCAATTCAGCACTCACTAAGTTATGGCAGATCCAGGTCCAGAATTCAACTGGACTGGCTGGCACAGGTGATACCTCAAAAAAGGAGAAATCAAGAGGACAAGGTGGCGACTTTGAGTAAAACTTTGGGTTTTGATTTTATAGAATTAGAATTAATATTGTTTACTTCACATGTTTGAAAGTTGGGCTCTCTCACCTGCGGAACGATACCTAAAACCTGACATCAATCACAGAATAAAACCCAATTAATAAGATTAAAATGAAATAAATTCCCACATGGCAATCAATTTCTGACAAGTTATTATGACACATGAGGTATTGCAGAAATTATAACAAGCATGCATTTATATGAAGACATAGTATATATGTACCAAAATGCAGAATGGTTGCATGGGGATTTGACATGTGAGGCCCTGCTCATTAACATTTATGTTGTTATTCTTGTTCTACTGTACACATAATCTCGCTGCAGTACTTTTTAATAAGTAGAATAATACAGCATCGTGCATATTGTCCCAGGTATGACTTTTGGTAGGCCCTGTTCTACGAGGGTTCAAAAGCATGCATTGCACCCTTGGTTCAACAGTACATCAGTTAAACTTAATAACATCAAGCTTTACCTCAGGATATGTCTGGATTAGAGCCCAACCGATATATTAGTCAGCCAACAAAACTGGCCGATATTGGCCTATCACAGATACATTGATTTGGCATATACGTTGTCCGATATGCAAGTATCACAGGTGGAGTAAAAAGCCTGTCGTCTCAAGTCAAGTTTCCATCCAAAAGTGTTGAAAAATGTATCAGCATTTCCAGAAAAAGAGCAAAATAAAATGCAAAGTAATGTGCATTTCCATCCACCATTGTTATGTGGGAATATCAGGAGTTGAGGGGTACTGTTGTCTCTGTTGTTTAACCTGCAGGAAGGATGATAAAATTATATTCACGGAAATCCTAACTGACTTGATCCTACCCTGAGTGGAAGTACCAACAGAATGTTTAAAAAACAAATGTCAAGACAAAAAAATCTGTTGTCTGCTTGTCGTGAACATGTTGACAGAATAAAGAATTTAAACGTACCTTCGTTACTTTTTAGTGTAATGCAAAGCTTGGCTACAACTGCAGCTAGAACGACAACTGCAATGGCAAGAATTACAACTGCAACAATCCATCCAGTGGAGGACCCTGAAACAGAAGGCAAAAAGTCAAAGTAACATGAAGACTCAGAGTGTAACTGTATATCATCTACATCAGACTGGACATCACAGTCTCCACACAGACTATTTATTGACAGTTTCCTCCTGCTTGGCAGCACAGCTTGGGGGTTGGTTGTAGTTTTGGTCTCACAAGTTTGGAGGGTGATGTTGGAATAGACCAAGTTAGAACACTGTGTAAAATGTGAATAAAAACAGAATGCAATGATTTGCAAACTCTTTTATGACCTATATTCAATTGAATACAGTGCAAAGATATGTAATGTTAAAACTTATAAAGTTTCTTCAACATACAACTTAATAGCAAAAAACTACTCACTATATGCTAATTTCATATAGAGCCTACCTAACTTACCAGTATTTTGTAAGTGTTTGGCCTACTTTTAATATTTGTAAATTATTTCGTGTTTCTACATTTTCTTATTCTGTTGTAAGATTATAAGTCATCATTTACATTTCTGATGACTATGACTTTTTGCTGTCCCATGAAAACAACATCACAGCAGATAATTAGCTTCACCATTTCATTTCATCTCATAACAAGTGCTTCGTTCATGGTTCTGATGATGTTGCCTGTAATTGCCAACTCCGCCTCGTTCACATGAACATGCACGTGGCTGGCTAGTAAAAACCCAGAGTTGACTGACCTAGTTGATAACCAGCTTCCTCAAACTGGTTAACTAGACAGCCAATGTTAGTGTTAGTGAAGCCAGATAACTACGTACAGTGCCCTCCAAAAGTATTGGAACAGTGAGGCCAATTCCTTTATTTTTGTTGTAGACTGAAAATATTTGGGTTTGACATCAAAAGATGAATATGGGACAAGAGATCAACATTTCAGCTTTTATTTCCAGGTATTTACATCTGGATCTGATACACAACTTAGAAGATAGCACCTTTTGTTTGAACCCACCCATTTTTCATGAGAGCAAAAGTATTGGAACATGTGACTGACAGGTGTGTTTTGTTGCCCAGGTGTCTCCCAATTACATTGATTATTCAAACAATAAATAGCACTGAATGTCTGAGCTCAGTTTCAGATTGGGTACGATAGGTTTTGCCTGTGCAGACTGCATTTAGAGGTGGAACCAACATGAAAACCAGAGAGCTGTCTATGGGTGAAAAAGAAGCAATTGTGAATCTGAGAGAAGATGGACAATCAATCAGAGCCATTGCACAAACATTGGCCATAGCCAGTACAACCATTTGGAATGTCCTGAAGAAGAAAGAAACCACTGGTGTACTAAGCAACAGACGTCGAACAGGTAGACCAAGGAAAACATCAGCAGTTGATGACAGAAACATTGTGAGAGCTGTAAAGAAAGACCCTAAAACAACTGTTAGTGACATCAGCAACAACCTCCAGAGGGCAGGAGTGAAGGTATCACAATCTACTGTTCGCAGAAGACTTCATGAACAAAAGTACAGAGGCTACACCAGAAGATGCAAACCACTCATTAGCAAGAAGAATAGGAAGGCCAGGCTGGAATTTGCCAAAAGGTACAGAGATGAGCCTCAAAAATTCTGGGAAAAAGTTTTATGGACTGATGAGACAAAGATTAACTTTTTCCAAAGTGATGGAAAGGCGAAAGTTTGGAGAAAGAAAGGATCTGCTCATGATCCCAAACATACAAGCTCATCTGTGAAACACGGTGGAGGTAATGTCATGGCTTGGGCTTGCATGGCTTCTTCTGGGACGGGCTCTTTCATCTTCATTGATGATGTAACACATGATGGCAGCAGCAAAATGAACTCAGAAGTCTACAGAAACATTTTGTCTGCTAATTTAAAGAAAGATGCAACCAAACTGATTGGGAGATCCTTCATCATGCAGCAAGATAACGACCCAAAACACACTGCCAAAACAACAAAGGAGTTCATCAGGGGCAAGAAGTGGAAGGTTTTAGACTGGCCAAGTCAGTCTCCAGACTTAAACCCAATAGAGCATGCATTTTACCTGCTGAAGAGGAGACTGAAGGGAGTAACCCCCCAAAACAAACAACAACTGAAAGAGGCTGCGGTGAAAGCCTGGAAAAGCATCACAAAAGAAGAATGCAAAAGTTTGGTGATGTCAATGGGTCACAGGCTTGATGCAGTTATTGAAAGCAAAGGATTTGCAACTAAATATTAAGTCTCATTCACTTTAATCTATTTTAAGTTTATATGTTCCAATACTTTTGCTCACCTAAAAATTTTGTGTTCCATTACAAATAATGCTATCTTCTAAGTTGTGTATCAGATCCAGATGTAAATACCTGGAAATAAAAGCTGAAATGTTGATCTCTTGTCTCTTATTCATCTTTTGATGCCAAACCCAAATGTTTTCAGTCTACAACAAAAGTAAACGAATTGGACTCACTGTTCCAATACTTTCGGAGGGCACTGTAGATGATTCGATGGTATACAGGCCACAGGTTAGGTCTGCAGTATGGGTTCCAATGGTGATCTTGCCAGGTTAAAAGAGAGCCACCTTCATGGGATGTAAACTCTGGCTATGGACTCAACATAGCATGCTGACCCAGCCCCTCAGGTTGCAACAGCTGTAAATAAATCTATTTTTGGGTTAGTATGTGAGGTTCACTAAACTCTTGTGTGTTGTGTGTCCCACACTCCCTCTTAAAGGAGCAACAGATAGCATCTTTTCCTACATATATCATTATGAAAATAATGTGGGTTGCACAGGGTAGTGGCCACAGTAAAATCAGACTATCAGTGTTTACATAGGTTATTTAGTGGCTTCGCAATCTTTGTAATAAGCTCCTGCCACCAGGGGCGAAATTTCGTGGGAAAAAAATCTGCTTTACGGCAGGAAACCCGTCATGTATTGCGAAACTGGTCGGTCAGGCAATCAGGGACTGGAGCTGGTCCTTATGAGGAGTTGGGCATGAGATAGTTGAGTCACGAGCACAATGGCAGACGGACAAAGTTTGGAGACAAGTGAAAAACGGCCTAGCAAAAGAAAAGGAGCTCCTCTGTGTGAGGCAAAAAAGAGCAAAAAGGAGAGTGATAAAAGAAGAGGAAAAACAAGAGTAAACCTCAGTCAGGCGTTCAAGAGATGGAGGGAAATCCGTGACCAAAGAGGCTTCAAAACCGATGTCCAGCTAGCTTTCTTTCTAATGGATCAGTAAGTAACACGGCTAAATGTTAGCTAGATGAGAGAGGACTGTACTGTACTGGCTGCTAGTTAACTCCTAGCAGGCCAGCATCGCAAATCGCCGCAACCAGGGACCGGGTAGCGAGTGTTGGTCGGCTGACATCCTCGTTGCCATTCTACAGCAGCCCTCGGACAGTGATACCCCCCTCCCTTCCTTCTGTTCTCTTCCCACGGAGGCGGCTATCGACGGACATCGCCCAGCTAAGTTACGTCCAGCTGTGAACACTGGACTTTTCAATGCAACGGCCTTAGACTGACAAGCATCAAAATCAGTTAACGTTAGTCCACACAGCTCTCCCAAGCTGGCCTGGAGAGCAGGGAGATCATGTCGGTCACTGGCCATAAATGTGAGGGCAGCCTTCGCAGCTACTGGGCACCCAGCATCTCTGACTGGGAGAAGTGGAGTAAAATCCTCTCCTCCCCTCCCGTTTGTCTGGTGAACGCCTCTCCTCTGTCAATACACTCTGCCAGCAATTTAATAATATTGATGCCAGTTGTAACATTTGAATGTTTTAGTAGTAAGCCATGTTCTAAGTGGGATAATGTATAGTGAGCTGGTGACAGTTGAAAAATAACTCCGCTGCTCATCAGGGTTCCATTCCTGTGAGCTGTTTGTACTGGTACTGTACATATTGGTATAATTATTTGCATTACTATTTGTTTTTTCTTCAGATAAATCTGATAATTGTTGCTCGGTCTCTTTACTCATTTATTTATTATAGTGTCCACACAACTTCTCATTCTACATATACATAGAGGTATACTGGTGGCTTTACAGCCTACATTTTATTGATTATCTCTGATCCCCACGGTCATTTTGGTCGTTGCGACAGTGCAAGCAACACCGCTGACGCTGGGTGGCGCCAAGCTTAAAAAAAACCAAATCCTATCTGTTGCCTCTTTAACTTTGTAGCTCAGTGACGTTGAGTCTCGCCACGAGCGAATGTGTCAAGCCGTGCACTTACCCATGATGGAAAAACAACAGCTGGGAGCAGAATCGCTTGTCGACCGGCGTGAAGAAATGCGCGTCTGATGTGAACGGAGGTGCTCCGGCTCGCGCGAGAATTTCGGTGCGCTGCTCTTCGCAGGCAGTCTGGCGTCAGTTTACGTGAGAAGTTTTCATTTGGTTTGAAACATTTTTTAACTTGTGCTGATGTTCCCTTGTGCTCAGTCTGAACACACATTGACATACAAGTAGTTAAAATAATTAAATATGAAAATATTACGAGGAAGAATCATATTACCGATATACACATATGTCTTAGCGGAAATCTGATGGTTGATTTCCTCCTGTGTGGCCACACAGCGATAGTAGTCAGTCTTGGTCACAGTAGTTCGTAGAGTAAAACGGTCTGGTATTAGTGCAGACGATGTGTCTTCAGCAGGAAGTTTGTTTCCAGCGCTGTCCTGCCACTCTACTTTTGGTCTTGAAGAAGGGCTTCGGACTTCACACTGCAGCAGTGACCAATCCTTTGTTTGCTCAAGTGTAGTGATGGATGGTTTTGAAGCTGCACCTGTGAACATAATAGAAACAAAATAATCATAAAACAGTTTTAAGATTAGTGTCACCAATTCAATATCTGATCAAATGTCTCCCCTTCTGTTCCTGAGATATGATGTTGATTAATGGCCACAAAAGTGTTTTACACAGAATGTTATAAAGTTTTGTTGTTGTGTTTTGTGTCTTTTGGATATAAAATGTCATCACTTCATCATTATATCCTGTTAGACATTTGTGTGAAGTTTTGTCATAATTGGCATATGAATTCTCGAGTTATGGCCAAAAACATGTTTTATGAGGTCACACTGACTTTGACCTCTGATCTTCAACCACCAAACTCTAATCAGTTTATTCTTCATTCCAAGTGGATGTTTGTGTCAAATTTGAAAAGACTCCTTGAAGGCTTTCATGAGATATTGCGTAGATGAAAAAGAGACAGATGCAATGTCACACTGACTTTGACCTTTGATCACTAAAATCTAATCACTTTATCATTAAGTCCAAGTAAACGTTTGTGCTAAATTTGAAGAAATTCCTTCTGGGTGTTCTTGAGATTTCATGTTAACAAGAATGAGTCAGAAAATATCACAGTCACCTTGACCTTTCATTTGATTTAAGACCACAAAAATGTAATCAGTTCATCTGTGAGTCCAAGTGGACGTTTGTGCCAAATTTCAATAAGTTCTGCATAAAAATGCAGTAACAGCAATTTCAGATGGAAGAAAAATCAAAGACAGCACAGAGTAACAACTCGATTTTAACAGCCAGTGTTATTTGGCAGGGTCTCGTATTTCAAAACATTTAACTTCTACCAAACATGTGGAGTCACAAACACCATTTCTGACTCAGATCATGACAGACGCACATATACAGTGAAGATATTTGGATACAACCCTTACATTTTTATGCTACATTTGTTGAGTCAAATAAATTATATTGAAATTAAACACATGAAATGTGAGTCTCAGAGTGAAACCTTACATCAGACTGGTCTTTGCTCCGCACTGATTCACTTTGAGTTCGGCCAAAAACAGATTAACATCTGTGAAAACTATCAACACATGAATACTAAAATTACACTTACTCTCGAAATACAGATAAGTTTCAGCAGAAATCCGATGCTTGATTTCCTCCTGTGTGACTACACACCGATAGTAGTTACTCTTGTTTGCAGTTACTGAGACAGTGATGTCGAAGCTGCCTCCTTTATCTGAGACCTGTGTCTGCTCAGCAGGAATGATGTTTCCAGCACCGCTCTTCCACTCTACTTTAGGTTTTGGAAAAACCCCTCGAACTTCACACACCAGCAATGACCAGTCCCTTGCTTCATGTATCTTTATGTACGGCTCTGGAGCTGCACCTGTGAACACATTATACATACAATATAACTTGTAGGGAATGTCAGATGTTCGGTAAGTTTTTACCAGGAGCTGAATTATCTGCAGAGGTTGGTTTTCCATTTCTGAATCATTAACACCAGACATTTGATGCGTGGTTTCACATCACTCTAGTTCTGAGGTCTGAGAGGCTGAGGCCGGGTCTGGTTTACTTGTCTGGCATACCAATGAAAATGATTTGCTGAGATCCAAAAGTACATTAAATAAATTCATTAATGAAAAGGAATCAACTTACTGTGACGTGCACAAACTTGTAATCAAACACAGCAAACAAAAGAAAATTGTAGTCTCTTACTGACAAAAAACACATAAATGAACCTGAGTTACTCATATAGATTATGATCCATGTGACCCAGCTGTCCCAACAACCGCAATCACAAAAATGTAAACCATCCCAAATCTTATTCATCTTACAATATTCACTCCTTTCTAAATTAATTCATGGCTCGTACAAGCACTGAATGTTTCCAGGCCCAAATACACTTCTGACCTTCTGCAACACTATGAACCATCACGACCTCTCAGGTCATCTGGGACAGGTCTGTTTTGTGTCCCCAGAGTCAAGACTAAACATGGAGAAGCAGCGTTTAGGTTTTATGCTCCACATATCTGGAATAAACTCCAAGAAAACTGCAGATCTGCTACAACTCTCAGCTCCTTAATAGCAAAGCTGAAGATTTTTCTGTTTGCTGCTGCCTTTTATTAAAACAAATGTTAGTTAATTTCTTCCACTGCACTGTAACTTTTATTCTTGTATCTTATACCCGTCTTAGTAATTTTGACTTTTCTGTACTCTGGCTCTTTAATTGCGTTTTTAATTGTATTTAAATGTCCTTTTGTCCAGTTCCTTTTCCATTTTGTCTTGGACAAAACTGTACACACTGGACATACTGTACATGTGGGAGGTAGAGAGTGATGTAATCAAAATCAGGACTCACCTGGGATGTTTTCCTGTGATCTGTCTTTTAAGACACCATCTAAAAGGTAAAACAAAACATATGATATCCTCAACTTTGCAGTTAGGTAAAACAAAAATGTGTTTCTCCGTTTATTGAACAGAATTTATTTCCATTTTAAACTGAATCACATTCACAGAATAGACTGGTTTGTGACAGAAAAGCACTCAAAAACAACAAGTTTAATGTGGACTATTTGACATGGCTGAAGACATGGGAAAAACACAGGTGTAGTTTTCACTGTCAACCCCAACAAGATGTAGCAAAACGTTTATTTCAAATCCAATTATGTTCCAAACACACACAAAAATGACCTAAATGCACTAGCAAATAATAACCTTAGGGTACTTTCATATTTTTTTTTATGTACATTCCAATGCATGAAGAATCTTAAAGGAAAATTTCAGTTTATTTCAACCCGTCTCCTATTGTCCTAAATTTGGTTCAAGTGACTAGTGACATACAGATAATAGTTAGCATGTTAGCCATTAGCCTAGATACAGCCGTAGCATCAGACCTGTTAAAATGTAAGTGAACAGGCATCCCTTCAAGTGCAAAGTTAGTCCACTAAACAAGCTTTTTTCCACAAAGACCGCCTCATATCGTTAGGCTAAATGTCAGAGAACATATAGAAAAGGACATGTAAACGTGTTGTTTTACCTTACCGGTGTGCTGCCATGTTTGTTTACAATTTAGCTCTGCTTTCCAAAGCGTGGCCGAAATATCACGAGAACAAGCAGCGATCTCATACTGTGCCTGAACAAGCAGCAACAGTGGGAAGGCAGAACCAGACGGTCACCTGAACGGAGGAGGAGGAGGAGAGAGAGAGAGGCGCAACAGGTAGAGGACGAGAGAGGAGGAATGGCTGCTGCAAGGCTGCGTAGCTCTGGAGATTGGTGGTGTACCTGTGAATGCTGTGCCCCAGTGCCCACAGAAGAGGAATGCCTCTGTTGCAAGGAATGGGACCGGTTGCAGCCTTATTTTCAAGGTCTGGATG